GTATTATACGTATTGGCGATATAATCTCTAAACCCAGTAATTGTCTATTGTATTTTACTATAATAATAGTTGCTTAGTGAAGTAAGATGCAGTAAATGCCCGCAAATGAGAACCTACTTTTTTGAAGTCTGGCAAAATAGCTTCTTGTATTTTTGATTATTAAAATTGCAAATTTCTGCCGGGAGGTTGGTAAAACCACTTGGTCCTCATTTGCGGGTGTATTTTAGTAAGTATAAGTTCAGACATTAATGGCCCAACTTTATTTTGAAACATGCCTTAACTCTTAATTGTACTTAGTAGTTCTTGTCTCGTTGGAGAAATACAGCTCGTTAGATAACTGAACTACCCTTTATCCGGCATTTGTAGCTACAATGAAAACATCTTATACCCTCACTTTTAGATTTAGTTTTATTACATCAATAAAACACCTTTTGAGTATTATGAGTCCATTGTTGCCCCAGGGGTGGGTAGGAGGTACTTCCTATTTTGAACTAAAGGGAGAGGCTCGGAGTAAGAGGTTTGTAAAGGGAGTGTGCTTTTATGAGCTGTGTTAAGCAAAAGAGAAAGATAAATTTCAGTTGGTAGAAAAGGATTCTTTTAAAGATTATCGCAGCGATGCACCTTTAGGAGGTTCATTCCTGAATTTATTAATGAAGTCCAGTTCCCGGCCCAAAAATTTCTTCTTTCCGTATGTGCCGTGTTGTAGTCTTATTCGCTCAGAAGCCTTTCAAGCTAATCCAGCGAGGCCTGCGAAAGGACCACGTCCTCTACTATTTACGGGTAGTGTTTAAATTCTAACATCTTACGGAATTTCACATGAGCTTGCAAGTGTTCTGAGAGGGTTGTAGAAGGCCTAAATGTAATAAACGACCCTAAATGTAATGAAGTCCTAAATGTAGTAACATTTTGTCCTAAAAATAAACTCTTAAGTTGGCAATTACAGTAATCAGACTCGAATAAGTGTCGCCCTCAAATGAGCGCCGCATTTAAGGGGGGAGTTAATTAGTAAGCACCGCGCTCAAATAAGAGCCGCATTTTTAGGGGAAAAGTTAATAAGCGCCGCGGCGCTAATTCACGTAAATTCGTTACATTTCCCTACGCACTGTGAAACTTGACGCTTACAAATAAATTGCTTGTGAACTACAAAGTAACAGTATTTTTTCTAAAAAAGCAATATTTATTTCGAAACAGTTATGCAAACCCTCGACTTCGTCTCGGGTTTGCATAACTGTCAAGAATTCTCCCAACCTGTCGAGTGTTTATATCAGGCTATGTACAGGGAAAAAGCTTTCTATTGCTTTTATAAAATAACTTTCCCGAGAAAAAAGAAAAACTCTTTGTTTAGGTTACTGATTAAAAGAGAAATTCTTACCAGTCGCGAAGTCTTGTACACGAAGCTTAATGTACGTGCGATCAGTTCTTGTTATGCAATAAAGATGCTTTCCAAAAAAGGGTTTTTCTCGCTTAAAATGTCGGCCTAAGCGAAAACAAATTGGCACAGAATGTTCGTAAAGATTTTCCAAGTTTCATCCGACGAGGGAATGGGTAAATAAAGTAAATTTGTCGAGTTTTCAACTGTGTGATTAGCGCGCGAAGAGCAAAACATCTTGACTCCACACATGTTTACATACTCTCATACAAACACATCTCTCGGCCAATCAGAGCGCGCGTACTATCTTAGTTATTTATAAACGTTATCAGCTGTACAGTAGTCTTCAAGGGCCTGTTTACATGGACACGGTGGACCCCAGATAGGTGAGGTAACATGCCGCGGGTCACCTCACCTATCACGTAAACGTGATCAAATTAAAATGAGAGATTATGTGGACATGCGGATTACCCACCAAAGTGCGGGTTACCTCACCTACCTGGAGTCCCCGACCTCTATGTAAACAGGCCCTTAGACTTCTCGTTTTTTGTTCTTAATATTTTAGCTGCATGATTAGATTTCTTTTCTAGAGATCCAACGTTGACAAGCAACAGGATCTTCGTCCATGGTTTTTGAAGTAAATTTCCTTAACAAAAATGAAGTATGAAAAGCTTTTTTTTTTATTTTGTCCCTTTACAAGCAGTTTATTTGTAAACGTCAAGTTACACGGTGCATAAGGAAATGTACCGAAGCTCTGTATTGAATTTTTTCTCCAAAAATGCGGCGCTTAAAACCATAGTAATACCTCTTAGTACCGTATTTACGCGAATAAGCGCCGCGGTGCTTATTAAATCCCCCAAATGCGGCCCTTATTTGAGTAATTACTGTAATTTGCAACTTAAGAGATTATTACATTTAGGCAAAATGTTATTACATTTAGGACTTTATTACATTTAGGACAAAATGTTATTACATTTAGGCCTTCTACAAATGCTGCACGACAAGACTGCAATACAACTCCTATGGTCTTTTCCGTCTAGTATACAATGACGGGCTTATATAGAACAGCTAATCTCTTGCTTCAAGATGAAACTAACAGGTCCTTAGTTCTGTTAATGCTAAGGATGACGTGTCTATAGAGGAGCAGTCGATCATGATCTTAGCTGTCAAAGGGAGGTATAATTTAGAATTACTTCTGGCGAAAACTACGCTGGAATTATGACGTTACACAAGCCGATAAATAAAACTAGAATTAAACGAGGGGGGCGTTGCGATTTTCGGTTTTACGGTTTTGGCCATTTTTTGAGTCAGTTTTTCGGTTTTTGCACTGAAAAACTTCGGTTTTTCGGTTTTGTTTTCCGTTGCTCTGTCCGGTTTTTCCGTTCTTTTAGCATCTGGTTTTTCGGTTTCTGTGGGTTTCTGAGCAGCTAGGTTACTTTATATATTTCTGTTTTACAGTCAATCCAGGTTAAACTGCAATGTGGGTTTCTGTATTTTTGATGTAGGTTTACAGCTATAGGAGAGTTTTTTGTGAACGCAAAATTTTCCCAAATGTCCTCTAATGCCATTCAATTGAGGATCTTTTTGCATGAATCATAGGCCAGATATGCCTGTTTTAAGTCCATAGCTTCCATAGATAGTGCTGATACTGTGATGATATTAATATCTAGAATGAGGGTGTGATATTGTTTAGTCGGAAAAAATGAGGAACAAACCAGAGTTCGTTATAATCTGTCGGCCGACTGTTGGTGGTCTGTCGGTGAACTGTCGGTCGACTATCTACCGACAGCCGGTCCCCAAAATGTAAATAAATGCAAGATAACCTTAGATTCTGAATTCCATTTAATCTAAATTCCGGATTCTTTGTCAATAGAACTTGGATTCCACATTCCATCGTTACTGGGATTTCGGACCTCTTGAGCTGTAATTTCCCGGATTCAAGAATCCGAATTCCCTTACAATTGGCGAAATATAGCATCACAAACAGTAGAATCCCCTGCCGGTAACTCGAACTTTGAAGGGCCGGAAGAGTTATCGGGGTAAATTTCAGTCACATTTTGATCAAGGGAAAGGAAATTCAGTTCGAGTTAGCAAGGAATTCTACCCGAGTTCGAGTTATCGAGATTCAGCTGTAGCCATCACTAGTTCTCTCTCTTGCTCGATTTATCCGTAGACTGCATGCCTATCCCTCAGCTCCAATAAACTCCATAAGGCAAATTCTTCTGAATTCTTCAGACAAATTCTGGGTTTCTTCACCGTTAGCTTTTTTATTATTTAGAACTTCTTCTACTTTGTAAATTTTATGGCAAAAAACAATAAACTTGAAACTTGAAACTTTTCGTAACGTGTACGTTCTACGGCAACACGGTGAGTTCCTTGTCGAATGAAGTGATATCACCAACACCTCTCTTGCGTATTTTAAGAAACCAAACAAGAAAAATAACGACGAGAAGCAACAGTAGCAGAAATCCTAACACTACTCCCACAATGATTCTGGTATTATCCTTTGAGGCACCTTAGAACATAAAGAGTAGAAGATCAATCTCTGAATTTTATATTGTTAAGCAGAAAATGAAAAAAGTATAAAGCGAGAGTCAAAATTTGGTGCAATAGAATGGGTACCGATCATGGCCGGTGGTTGAGTAGAGAATGCCTGACCGAAAGTGAGTAGAGATGATAATGAGGCCAAAGAAAGGTTGGCAAGGCAACTACGGAGTTTTTACTCAACTACTGTACTGTAGGAATGCATTGATCCGATTACTCCTTCTGGAGTGGGCATCAGGTTATGATTTTAATACACTTTTCCTTTACTGTGGGACTTGGTGTGTTCTCTCCTTAAGGTGAAACGTCATTTCCTCTTACTTTTTATGTCAGGTTAAAATTATAGTTGGTTGTGTACTGAGCAAATGAGGAGGGGATTGTTAGTAGATTTCAGAAATATCATTTCACGTAGCCCATGGAAAAGCTCAATGTGTTTAAAATTGTCAAGAAAGATATACCCTTTCCATTAGCTGATTTTAAATCCAAATCCATCGTATTTTTCAGAGGTTGGGGGATAAGCTTGACCTGTGCGAGACATTACAAGCAAAATCTTCGAGCCGGACACAGAGTGCACTAAAAAAATCTTCTGCACTCTCACAAACTTGATTTATGTGATAGGTTTTTGAGCAAGCGAGATCAAACACACAGTTAATTACCACTTAATAATTGCAGAGAAATCAGGCAATGCGACATTCATACCTTGAGTATCTGGTGCTGCTTGGGTCGGAGAGGACGTGGATGAGAGGGTGGAAGATGTCGTTGGAGCAGGTGAAGGCTCGCTCAAGGATGATGCTATAGCCGCACTAGAATCACTTGAGTCTAACGGTGACGATGCGGGGGATGAATTAATTCCGTCAGAACGTGATGATGACGAAGTTGTTGATGATGGGGACGATGGAACGTTCGTGGCAGTTAAAGGAAATGGAGACGATAACAGTGACGCAGTAATAGTCAATGATGACGTCGATATGGTTGTATTCCCAAAAGTAGTCAACAATGGTGTTGACATCGTTTTTACAAGGAAAGGATTCGATAATGATGTAGACGCAGCTGTGATAGAGGGCGGTTGAGATATCAACGCCGTTGAAGAAGTGGTGAAAGATGTTTCTGTCATGGACTGAATCGATGATAACACGGAAGCTATTGGATTAGAGGTCGATAATTGTGGCGACGGAGTTTTCGTGAGGAACGGAGACGATAATAACGTGGCCACAGTAGGAGTAGACGTCTGTGAAGATGATGACAAAGTTGTTGCAGCAGAATTAGCTGATGATGATGTTGACGAGGTTAGAATCGAGATCAATAAAGACGTTGATAAAATTGTAGGGGAAAAAGTCGACGCCGGTGAGGAGACACTTGGAGTGGAGGAAGAGGACATCGACGTAGATTTTGTCAGAGAAAGAGGTGGTGGCGTCGAAACAGCTGGGGCAGAACTAGTCGACAAAGATGATAATAACGTGGCCACAGTGGGAGAAGACGTCTGTGAAGATGATGACAAAGTTGTTTCAGCAGAATTAGCTGATGATGATGTTGACGAGGTTAGAATCGAAATCAATAAAGACGTCGATAAAATTGTAGAGGAAAAAGTAGACGCCGGTGAGGAGACACTTGGAGTGGAGGAAGAGGACATCGACGTAGATTTTGTCAGAGAAATAGATGGTGGCGTCGAAACAGCTGGGGCAGAACTAATCGACAAAGATGATGTCGCGGATGGACCCGAGGTCAATAAAGACATAGCTGGAAAGAAGATAGTTGAAAATGTCGACAGAGTTGTTGTCATAGAAGGAGTGACAGTCGGGGGAAAGGTCCACAGTGATGTTGAAACAGTTGTTGAAACGGAAGACGATGACAATGAAGCTGACAAAGTTGGCCTGATTGATAATGGTGTTGACGCAGTTAGTGTAATGGAAGGAGTCGACTCCAGAGTTGGAGAAGAGGACAATGAAAATGTCGACTCTGCAATTGGGAGAATAAGTGACGATGATGACGTTGCAGTAGAGGTCAGCGAAGATGCTGATAATGTTGTGTGAACGGAATATGTTGATGATGAAGTTGACGCGGGTTGACTTGAGGACAGTGAAGATATTGCTGCAATTGTTGGAAAAGAAGTCGGTGACGATGATGACACAGTTGGAGAAGAGACAGATGAAGAGGTCGCCGTAGTTGTTGTTATTGATGCAGGTTGCGTTGTAAACACAGTTAGGGTAGCAGCCGACAAAGATGGTGACACAGATGTTGTAACGGAAGACGTGGATAATGATTCTGACAAAGCCGGAGTTGATAAATACGTTGAAGCAGTTGTTGTTACGGACGGAGTCAATGCAACACTCGGAGTAAAGGTCGATGAATAAGTCCACAGGGTTGTTGGAACAGCAAAACTCGAGGATGTAGTCGACATAACGGGAGTAGCAAAAAAAGATGATGGTGTTGTTTGCGAATTAGTAGCTGAAACGAGATTTGAGTTTATCAAAGTCGCTACTGCTGATAGCGACGACGACGACGATGGTGATGATGATGATGATGAAGATGACCCGGTCTGTGTACTTTGGGTAAAATCTAAATGAAAACAGAGTTTATACTAATTAAATGTAAGGACGATCTTGACAGTTATAAACGTAACTTTTACAGTTGCGAAGAGAAAGCCTTAAGAGATCCGGCCTTGTACGGGATTTGAACTCTTAACCTCCGTGAAAGCGGTGCACTGCTCTAACAATTTAGCTAATAAGCCAACTGGGAGCTGGTGATTTTGTTGTCTCGTTTTAAAACGAGTGAAATAAATGAATATATGAAAACTATAAGAGAACTGCGGGATGAAGATTTAATTGTTAAGGACGTTCATAGCAGTCATAAAAGCAACGTCTACAGGTGAGAAAAGAAGCCTGAAAAAAATTCAAGTTTGTGCGGGTTCTATGCAGTTTAGGACCTCTTCACATGGCCCGGTTAACGGGACTTATTTCGTCTTGGGTTCATATAAGTAATTTCAGCCCCGTTTCCGAGATGATAAAAGGCCGCGAAGAGTTTCTGGCGCAAATTTCGAGAACCAAACCATGGCGAAATACAAAGATATAACTTTCGCGCCAATCATAGCTTTGGCAACTCTTATAGCTGTATCACTGTAATTAAATGTGATACTTATGATGTGGAAAATACAGCAGGCAAAGCAAGACGATGCCATCTCGGTCACCGAATTCATCCCGCTTTCATCCCGGTAACTGGTTTGAAGTGTTCATATGGCAAAATTCTCCAGTCCGCTTACCGAGATCCTGGTTGGAAAAACAGATATATCGAAGACCGAGCTAGCCCGCGCTCTCATATGAACAGATCGAAAATTTTACAAAGGATTTATGAGTAAGCGAGATCTCAGAAACCGGACCAGCCCGGTCAACCGTACTCAAGATTTAGAGGCCCTTTATTGTAAATTTGTGCATTTGTAGATCTGTCAATAGTGCAGAAGTAGCCATTTGACTACGGTGATTCGCACGTTTAAATGTCTCTTTCAATTATAGTTATATGACTTACTTTGGTAACACCTGTTCTCCCATAAACATGCACTGGGGCAAAAAACCGAAGAAGAACTCGAGTAACTCCAACTAACGCTGTCGCTAGATGAAATTGTAAGTGTTGATGGGGTCATATCGAAAGTCGAAGAGCTGTGGCTCATAACAGATGACCTGCTAGTGGAAGACGAAGTAGGAAACGAAAAGGTGGTGGTGAAAGCGGATGACGTAGTAGAATGAACTGATGACGTATTTGATGCCTCAGCCATCCTGACACTCGACGTTAATGAAGGCACTGCGCAAAGGGAAAATACAACTTTAAAAAAAGGCAGTCGAATGATTCTCATTCTAAACGGTATAAACATTTTGACACCGACAAGAATACACTCTTTCATTTTTATAAAATTATATTAAGACCATCGAGGCTGAAATTTGCGACATTTTAAGAATATTTTTAGAATAAACCGTGGCTGAGATTTTGAAAAGGATATAATTTTGTGTGTTGAAAATCTGAATTGTTTGTTTTTAACTTTTTAAATATAATTTAATTAAGAGTAGTAGAGGAATATTTTCAGCCTAAAATCGGCGGAAAAATAAGAATATTCAGCCTGTGCCGGAAAAACAACATTCTTAACTGATTAAGGAAAGGCTTGAACAAAAATGAGTTAACTTTTAGAACATTCGAAAACATGGAGACACAAAGCAAGTACACTGAAAGTTCTACATTTTTATCCGTTCAGTCTTGGCTATCGTTCAAGAGTCAAGAACAACGTAAGATCCGGAGACAGCTTCACCGGCGAAAACTTCGCATTTTTTCAATCTTCACCGCGATTATTCCAACTCACTTACCTTGTCATTTAATGTAGGCGAACTCTACTGTAGTTGAATTCCTGGGAACCATATCCAAGTTCAGAAAGGGAAAGAAAATTTAGGGGCCGCTGTTTAAGTCCTCCATGACAAGTGAAATTAGGCACTTTTACGTCTAAGCGTGCAGTGACGGCGTATATTACTAAGACGGGGATCTTGGAGCGGGGAACAAACACGAGGAGAGGGAAAATGAAGAATAGGAACAAAACCTAACTTGAACCCTAACCCTATCATTAACTTCATTTACAATTGTCTGTTATGTTCCCAGTTTTCATTTTCCCTTTCCCCACGTTCTTTCCCCGCTTCTCGTTCCCCGTTTTAGTGGGACGATGGGACGACGGCGACGACAACGAAAACGAGAGCGTCATTTTAAAAATGACTTCGCGTTTTTTCAGTCTTTGTAAATATCGTCGCTTGTTTACGCCCTCCATAAAACGTGAAATAAGGCATTTTCGCGTCGTAGTCGTGCAGTGACGCAAAGAAATGTACAAAAATAAAATATGATTCACGTGCAGAGTTGTTGTTTCGCTTATCTAATCTATTTCATCGTCGGATCTAAGCTTCTCCATTAAGTGAACGACAAACACATGTCACTTACTCACCAGTGACAGAGCTGCACCTGCACCAATAAGAGCAACTGGACAGCGCCGAAGTGGAGACTGTGTTTGAGCTGCTGGAGGTCATAGCTGGTGTAGCCTGCAAGCTGCTTATTGTGCTGACGGATTCCATGATGGATGAAAGTGAGGTACTAACGCTGGCTAAGAATCAAAGAAACACGAAACTCTTAGACAATTCGTGATGACAACATTAATAATGTAGACAATCGGACGGTTATAACATTAATGTGTACGATAAACTTTACAAGAAGGTATTCCTGTCAAAGTAGGGAAACGAGAGTAAGATAGCTCACGTATCTCTTATGAAGCTCGATGGCCAAGTGGTTAGCGCGTATGATTTCTTTAAACGGATTTAACATGCTAGTTCAACTTTATCCATCATAATTAGCTAGACGCTATCTGTTTTTTTTTCCGTTTGAGCACTTTGATGGACAGTGTAAGAGATATCTTCCTGACATTTTATCAGGTACGTTTCAATCGTAATTACTTCAAATTTTTAGGCCAGTGGATCCAATTCAACACTAGCAGTAAATGTATCAGTATTGGATCATGTAAGGAATATAGCCTGTCCCATGTAATTTATCTCAGACTGTCTACGTTGTTATGCTCCTTGCTAGATTTATTGCCCAGCGTCAATCATTTGGTGGTGTCATTTGAATAAAAAGCAAAGAAATCTATCAGTCAAATCTTATACCTCTGCAGGACACTGTCTCTTTTCTTCATGTAATATATATTTTTGACCGAATTCAGCATCTAAACGTCTGTGACGTCTGTAACTAGTAGATACAGCTGGATCATTACTGGCAACACTTCTGAGTTACACCAGTATCAACATTGACATGAAAGCAAACCTTAATTTATCGCAATTTTCATCTCGACACTCCGCCTATCAATGCCAACCATGGAGACTCAGATTCCCAGAGCACTACTGTAATACACTGCTTTTAAGTCAAACACCGTTTATTCACGTTCGTTACATACTTACTCTAAACCGAAAAAAACTAAGAGAATAAATTTAACACACGCTATATGTATAAGCTGTAGTTATTTTTTTAACCCAGGTAATTTTTATTTTTCGTTTGTTTCAACTTCATTTGCATACATTACCATACCCAAAAACAAAAGAAAACAAAAAAAACCTGAGATGAAAATAGAACTACAACATGTACATGAAAATTCCGTAGGAGTGTATCATATCACTTGCATTCATTTCCGCACGCGGTCAGCACTAAACGCTACAATTACCTGGGGCGTAGCCCTCCCCGGCCATATAAAGGAATCTCGATTCCAGAATCCGGAAAATAATTGTTTGTGGGATCCAGGATCATGGACTTTGGAATCCGGGATACAGCTCAAGGAATCCGGAATCCGAGTTCTACTGACAAAGTCCGGAATTCAGTACCTGGGATCCAGAATTCGAGGAGTGGAATCCAGAATCCAAGACTGTCTTGGATTCCCTTAAATGGGACGAGTCAACTGCGAACGAGAGTTTCAGATAGTGGAATTTGTTCACGATGCCTTATCATCATAAAGATGTTGTGTAGTGACTTGCAGACACAAGGAAAACGTTTCGTCACTTTCCCCGAGAAAATTTCGATTTCATCATGGAGTTGTCGTTTTGAAGAAAGCCACAGAGAAATGTATACAAATGAAAACTGAAAAAGTGCATTTAAGCTGACATTGTTTTCAGTCATTAAAGCTATTGTTTGTGTCACTCTAATTGTCTCGGTGATATGGTTGCAAAAATATATGTAGTTATGGAGGCTTTGGGTATAACACAGCAATTTTCAAAAAGGCAAGCATGGCCTAGTTATTTGCAAGAATGGCCCGAGGAAATTAACAGAAGAGTTCCAAATTTAATTTTAAATTCAAATCTAGGTCAGTGCTGCACTCGAATTCGGGCCACTGGATCACAAGTGTGTGGCGTCGATCACTAGGCCACTGTACCTACCTATAACTAAAAATTTGACTGAACTATTATTACCTACCTAAACTGCTGCTGCTGCTGCTGCTGCTGGTGGTGGTACTGGGGCTGATGGTGGTGCTTCCATTTGAAATCGATGCGAATGAGATAAAGATACATAATTTCGCCATAAAATATTTTCCAAGTTTGCGACTCATGGTCAAGAGCAGCTAATGAGAAAATATAGTAACCATCACATTACTCCGCAACTGTTAAACACAATTACAAAATAAATAAGGCATACTTTTTAGTCACAAGCTAAAACTGTTTGCATTTCCCCTTGAGGAAAACCTATGAACGGTGCTCAAGTCTAAAATGTGCTGGAGGTCATAGCTGATGTAGCCTGCAAGGTGCTTAATGTGCTGACGGATTCTATGAGGGATGAAACTGAGGTATTAACGCTGGCTAACGATCAAAGAAACACTGAGACAATTCGCGATGCCCACATTAGTAACGTAGACATTTGGACGGTTATGACATTAATGCGTACGATAAACTTTACAAGAAGGTATTTCTGTCAAAGTAGAGAAAAGAGAATAAGATAGCTCACATATCTCTTAATGAAGCTCGATGGCCAAGTGGTCAGCGCGTATGATTTCTTTAAACGGATTTAACATGCTAGTTCAACTTTATCCATCATTGTTAGCTAGACGCTATCTGCTTTTTTTTCCGTTTGAGCACTTTGATGGACAGTGTTAGATATATCTTCGTGACATTGCATCAGGTACGTTTTAATACCAATTACTTAAAATTTTTAGGCCAGTGGATCCAATTCAACACTACCAGTAAATCTATCAGTATTGGATCATGTAAGGAATATAGCCTGTCCCCTGTAATTTATCTCAGACTTGCGTACTTTGTTATGCTACCTTGTTAGATTTATTGCCCAGTGTAATCACCTATTTGGTGGTGTCATTTGAATAAAAGCAAAGAAATCGATCAGTTAAATCTTACACCTCTGCAGGACCCTGTCTATTTTCGTCATGTGATATATATTTTTGACCGAATTCAGCATCTAATAAACGTCTGTGACGTCTGTAAGTAGTACATACAGTTGCGTTATTACTGGCAACACTTCTGAGTTACACCAGCATTAACACTGAAATGAAATCAAACCTAAATTTATCGCAATTTTCATTCCGACACTCCGCCTATCAATGCCAACCATGGAGACTCAGATTCCCAGAGCATTACTGTAATACACTGCTTTTAAGTTAAACACCGTTTATTCACGTTCGTTACATACTTACTCTAAACCGAAAAAAACTAAGAGAATAAATTTAACACACGCTATATGTATACGCTGTAGTTATTTTTTTTAACTCAGGTAATTTTCATTTTTCGTTTGTGTCAACTTCATATAGCATACTTTACAATAACCAAAAACAAAAGGAAAAAAAACTCTGAGACGAAAAATTAACTATAACATATACATGAAAATTCCGTAGGTCCGGAGTGTATCATATCACTTGCATTCATTTCCGCACGATGTCAGCACTATACGCTACAATTACCTGGGGCGTCGCGGGCGGTAATTCAAATCTGAGACTTAAAATGATTTTAAAAAAAGGTGATCATTCAATTACTGACACTGATAGGATCACCATGAAATTTAAAAAGTCGTAGGTCTTGTGGCAACTGTACAAAGCTTCAACTCCCCCACACAGAGAAATGTATCAAAATGAAAACTGAAAAAGTGCGTTTAAATTGACATTGTTTTCAGTCATTAAAGCTATTGTTTGTGTCGCTCTAATTGTCTCGGTGATATGGCTGCAAAATATATGTAGTTATGGAGGCTTTGGGTAAGGTGACACAGCAATTTGCAAAAAGGCAAGCATGGCCTAGTTATTTGCAAGAATGGCCCGAGGAAATTAACCGAAGAGTTCCAAATTTAATTTTAAATTCAAATCTAGGTCAGAGCTGCACTTGAAATCGGGCCACTGGATCACAAGTGTGTGGCGTCGATCACTAGGCCACTGTACCTACCTATAACTAAAAATTTGACTGAACTATTATTACCTACCTAAACTGCTGCTGCTGCTGCTGCTGCTGGTGGTACTGGGGCTGATGGTGGTGCTTCCATTTGCAATCGATGCGAATGAGATAAAGATACATAATTTCGCCATAAAATATTTTCGAAGTTGGCGGCTCATGGTCAGGAACAGCTATATGAGAAAATATAATAACCATCACATTACTCCGCAACTGTTAAACACAATTACAAAATAAATAAGGCATACTTTTTAGTCACAAGCTAAAACTGTTTGCATTTCCCCTTGAGGAAAACCTATGAACGGTGCTCAAGTCTAAAATGNTAGGTCAGTGCTGCACTCGAATTCGGGCCACTGGATCACAAGTGTGTGGCGTCGATCACTAGGCCACTGTACCTACCTATAACTAAAAATTTGACTGAACTATTATTACCTACCTAAACTGCTGCTGCTGCTGCTGCTGCTGGTGGTGGTACTGGGGCTGATGGTGGTGCTTCCATTTGAAATCGATGCGAATGAGATAAAGATACATAATTTCGCCATAAAATATTTTCCAAGTTTGCGACTCATGGTCAAGAGCAGCTAATGAGAAAATATAATAACCATCACATTACTCCGCAACTGTTAAACACAATTACAAAATAAATAAGGCATACTTTTTAGTCACAAGCTAAAACTGTTTGCATTTCCCCTTGAGGAAAACCTATGAACGGTGCTCAAGTCTAAAATGCGAATTTTTCCAATAAAAATACCTTTGCGATCGCTTGATTCTCTGCAAAGCGAAAATGTCGCCTTTCACTGACAATAAACAAGGTTGTCAAGTTTCAGCTCAGAAATCAAGCTTCATCACTGAGAAAATGAAATAAATAGAAACTGCGCTTTCTTTAAAGACCACTAATTAAAATGCAAATTTCAGAAGCTTCTTAAAAGGTAAAACTAAACACTGAAACTGCACGAATGCATTCAATACCACACCTACATATTATTTAATGTAGGAATCAAGTCGGTGAGTTTCTTTGGACTTCAGTCTGAAAATTATCCTTAATTCTAAAATCTTGCGTGCGAAATAAGAACTTATTATTATTTTTCCTTCCTGCAGCTGTCCCAAGCTTTAGAAAATCCAACCAGTTATCATACTTCACTGGACAGATGTTTGTTAACTCCCCTATTGAGCTTAAATAGTAGTGTGTTTTGTAAGATTTATTTTTCTACAGTTGATCTTTACCGGTCGTAATTGCCCGCCAATCGGGAAAATTCTTTGTTGTCGGCTGTGATCACGATGGGCAAGATATTTTGACTATCTCAAACAAATATTTGTTTTCTTGAAGCTATGGTAACCAAATTTGTAACGTAAATCGTTCCTAATGCTACTGTAAGTTTTTCTGCACAACTCGATTTTTCAATGAATCAGTTAATCGAGAGGTCAATGGGGTTAACCGTAATAAAAGGATTTTTACCTTCAGCCGTCAAAAGTGCAGATTAATATTAACCGTTGAAAAGTTTCAAGGTACTTCAAATCTCACTATTTCAGCTGATCTTCACGAGATTCTGGCTCCGGAAAAATATAAACCTCTAAACTGGAAAAACACGCAAGTACCCATGTTTTGAAAAACACTTTTTCTAGACATTACAAGACCTTACAACTTGCTTATATCTGAAAATATTTCGAAGTTTTACCAGTTAGTATATATTCATATATAGAAGTTAACATTTCCTTTCCCTGACGTTTGGACTAAATTTCCACTTAATAACCGTCAACCATCAAAAGCTGTAAAATTTAACCGTCAACCTTCAAAAGTGGAAAAAATTTACCGTCAACCTTCAAAAGTACCACCCCATTAAGACCCTCTCAATCGATTACTTCTTGCTGTCTACAATTTTGACCAAGAACATCACTACTGAAAATTGTGTTATCAAACCCTGCGTTTATCCTTAAGAAAAAGTTTTAGGAGAAGAAATAAAGCAAGCAGACAAAAAAGGCAGAGTTACTAGTATTTAGCTTCAACCAATCAGAAGCACTACCCAGATCTGGGAATTGAAGTGACGAGTCATCAGTATGGAATTTCTACGCTCGTTCGTTAGACTTCATGCATTTCGAGTGGAAACCTGTGTTGGCGGAGCGAAATGTCGGCTGTTTTTCTGAACTTAAGTCCCGGGGGCTAAGTCAAGTGAAGCAGGCTACATAAAAGCGTTGTGGAGATATAAGGCCTAAAATGCTTTTGAGTTACCCGCAGAGTTAGTCTTGGCTTAGTCTCACTGAGAAACTATTGGGAGCCTCGTACATCATGACACGGATGACACGGATGTTGTCTGTCTGTCCTCAGGTCTAACTCGTGTTTAACTTCCATAAGCAGTCGTCGTTTAGTGGTCTGGGGATACAACTAGTAAAGAATTGTCAAGTAATAGATTATGGTTGTTCATCGAAGCAGATATAATTTATAATAAGAGCTGGATTATTGATTACTAGTTTAGACTTTTTGAGATTTGCACTTGGGTAGCCAAAGCTCAAATAATATTTGTGTGTGTGTTTTTTTTTTTGTTTTTTCTTTTTTTTTGTAAAAATCGACAGGTATACATAGAGGGCAAAACAGAGGAAGACCTTAAAGAGCAAAAATCGACTAAAAAATCACACGAAAGGCAACAACAGGAGATATGAAGGAATTAATGGACTAACTTTCATTTGCTACTCTTTTTTACTATCAAGTATAACAATTTCGGTTTTTCGCAAACAAATGCAGTAAAGAACTTGTACTTCTTTGGCTTCACCTCCTTATAGACAAGAGAAACATATATGTTATTCCCCGGCTGGGAGGTCCGTATTGGGAGAAACTATGCCGGAGGTCTTGAGTACCGCCCGAGGCCGGTACTCAGACCGAGGGTACAGTTTCTCCCAATACGGACCGACCCAGGCCGGTGAATAACATTTTTATTTTTTTCCAACCGAGATTTAAAAGTTTCAAGGAAAATTTTCCTTCACTCTCCAACCTATGTGTGTTGAAGTAGGAGGCGTTCGTGTTGATGAAGCGCGCGATCGATTGCAAACCAAAACAAAACATTACAGCATGATTTTTAGCTCGCATTTTCGAGTTCGCTATGACCGCTGAATTAAAGAAGTGAAGACGCATTTTTTACAGGCTTAGCCTCAATCTGAAGTAATATATTCACAAATTTCAACGAGAAAAAGACATGTTTATTACTCTGTCTATTGTGTATACAGCTATTTCGAGAAAGGTTGTCGGAAAAAGTGCACGCGACAATCTCGAAAGTTATTGTGGGTGATTTTGAGGTCACTGTTCTTCAAAGAAAGTCAGAATAGAATGGCACGAGAGGCCATGGACTTATGTCTGCAAGTGCTAAAGGAAAGCAACAAAAGTAGGTTCGACGGCTACAAAGTCAGGAACAGTGTATTGATCATATCCCATATTACCTTTCGGGATTGTCGCGTGGACATTTCTCCGACAACCTTTCTCGAAATAGCTGTATTCAAATTTCAAACACTTACTTGCCAGAATTTCTGAATATCTTACTTCACGTCGAGGCTAACCCTGTATAAATGTGTCGTTAATGTTTATATTCAGCGGTAATTTTTAATTCGAAGCTGGACTATTTATGTCATGGCACTTACTGCTCTCTTTTAGAATAAAGAAAGGTTTTTGTGTCTTGTTAGACTATTCATAATCTGAGTGTCAAACAAGTATAAAAGAATTGACGAGCTTGATATTAAAAGCGCCAAGAAAAAATACAGCAAGGATTTTCTGCGGCTGAATCTTTCAAAAATTGCTTTAAGATTAGTTCAATCGAGTGGGATGAAAACTGNTATCTTACTTCACGTCGAGGCTAACCCTGTATAAATGTGTCGTTAATGTTTATATTCAGCGGTAATTTTTAATTCGAAGCTGGACTATTTATGTCATGGCACTTACTGCTTTCTTTTAGAATAAAGAAAGGTTTTTGTGTCTTGTTAGACTATTCATAATCTGAGTGTCAAACAAGTATAAAAGAATTGACGAGCTTGATATTAAAAGCGCCAAGAAAAAATACAGCAAGGATTTTCTGCGGCTGAATCTTTCAAAAATTGCTTTAAGATTAGTTCAATCGAGTGGGATGAAAACTGGACAAAGGCTTTGTAAAAAGAGCTAATTACACATACCAATTTTAAGGTTTTGAATTGAATTCGAATAAAAGAAGGCGATGTGAGTAACAAGTTATGAACAAGGAAATGAAAACGGTGATAACCGACTGCTGGAAAAGTGATTCGTGTTGTTTATTTAAGATTGAAAGTTAGATGGAATAATTGACAACAACCTTTTCTGATAAATAGAGAACTAGCGAGGCAAAATTCAATGAAAAAGGTCAGAATCTAGATTCATACAGCAAAAATGGAAAACAAAACAGTCAAACAGAGCAAAAATGTTCAATAAACGGTGCATAAAAGCGAGATTGCAGTACTTACAGCGCGGTTGTAAAGCTAGTGAAGCGACATCACGAGTCACCTGTATTGCTTTACTTTAGCGGTTTTCCAGGCTGACTTGCTTGATTCTCCCTTCAAATTTTTGGTCCGAATAACAAAATTCACTTTTCCCTAGCTAATGCTAATAACAGCGCAAGCTTTAAGAGAAAAATGGTTTGAAAATGACGGTTTTTGATCATTCACAAACAACAAACAAATGAAGCTGCCAACGATTCCGCTCAGGTTAGCGGGCAAAATCGTAAAATACCGCTTGCTCTCGGAACCAATCAGATTGCAGGATTTGGAGGATTCCGCCCGCTCGAAAGCTAGGAGAAAAATAAATAAAAGGGTTAACTGTTTGTGTTTTCTTGTGACAAAGCATTATTTTGAAAAAAGTAGGTTTTGCGATGCAAGAAAAGTATTTTATTTTACAAATTTTAATTTCCATGAAACCGTTAACTAAAGGTGATCAAGAGGTTCAGGGGCTGTTTACATAATACCGGAATGACTAATTTTCCGAAATGAGTTGTTTTCCAGGGCGAAGTTTGTACTGCATTAACGTGATTAGATCGAACAGCTCAGCCAAGTTCGCGCCAGAACAGTTAAGGTGGCCCGAACCTATTTATATGCGCGTTGGTTATGTTTTTGAATCGTGTTTTTCGGCAGGAATGATTTAACCGATTTTCATGATTTTTGGCGTCCTTAATAAAGAATGGTCGAACTTTAACAAAATACGATTTATTTTCTTATAGATATAAAAACCTTTGAGATATCGGCATATGTTTAAAATCGCATTTTTACAAAAAATGTCAATAATTTCGAGACCCTAAGACAGATTTTTCTCTAACTTCAGCAAATAAGCCTCAGAGCTCTCTAGTTTTATATCTGCACGTTCAAAGTCAATCGTGACCGTAGAACTCGCTGCACAAATAGCTGGTCAAATTTAACCTTAAAATTCAGCGCTGAAGCATTTGTGAAAATTAACACACAAATAGAGGACAATTGCTGACGGACTATCTCCTATCTGCAAGGGTATTCTTGCCCAAAGCTTCAGTTGCAAGAAACTGAGTAATCAGAAACCTACGGCGAATGCAGTTCGCAATATAAGAAGAACAACTTTATGCTGAATGCGGAGCAAGAATAAATAACTTCTATTTATCAAAGTTACTATGTATTTTCCCCTCTCCTTTCGCAAAAAATCTCAACAAAGAACGATATAACATCTACAGAATTCTCCTGCCAGTTTTTAGCACTGAAGGTTCCCGTCTTGAGAAGAAATAAAGCCACCAACTCCAGTACTTCAACTGATCCATTTTCAGCTGCAACGAAAACCCTTGTTTTAGGTAATTTATTTATTTTTGAAAGATTTGCCATCACAATCGCACGGGCATTTTGCCATTGGGGATAATAAAAAGAATAAGACGTTTGTCATATTTTCTTTCATCTTTATCCCCAGGTGGCAAACTTCCCGTGCGAATGTGATGTCAAGTCTAAAAACCTTGAATAAATTACCAAGTACAAGGGCTTGAAGTGAAGCTGAAAAATAGACGGTTGGAGTTGGTACCTTTATTTCTCCTCAAAACGGAAACCTGCGACGCTAAAAACTCTTGAGAGTTTTTCGTAGATAATATAAGTTGCCTTGTTAAGATAGGTTTCGAAAAGAGCGGAACAAATACAAAGTAACTTTGATAAATAAAAATTATTTTATCTTTCCCCGCATTCAGCATAAATTTGTTCTTCTTATATTGCGAACTGTATTCGCCGTATGTTTTTGATTATTCAGTTTCTTGCAACTGAAGCTTTGAGCAAGAATACCCTTGCAGATAGCTAGGAGACAGTCCGCCGGCAGTTGCCTCTATTCGTGCGTCAACTTTCACAAATGTGTTAGCGTTGCATTTTAAGGTTAAATTTGATCAGCTATTTGTGCAGCGAAGTTCTACGGTCACGATTGACTGTAAACTTGCAGATATAAAACTAGAGAGCTCTGAGGCTTATTTGCCGAGGTTAGAGAAAAAACCTGTCCTAGGGCTTCGAAATTTTTGACATTTTTTTGTAAAAATGCGGCTTTAAACATATGCCGATATCTCAAAACGTTTTCAAAAATCATGGAAAGTGGTTAAATCATGCCTGCCGAAAAACGCGATCAAAAACATATAACCTGAACGCGCATACAAATAAGTTCGGGCCACCTTAAATAAGCGCCACTCGCCCCAAACCTTCACGATTTAAACACGCGTTGCGATTTTTTAAAATAAATTTTTCGAATTCTTAAAAAAAAACAGAAGGAAGTTTGTTTTCAGTTTACATAGTACCAGAATGAAATTTCGTACCAGAAAGAGAATTTCATTTGGATTAAAAAGCGGAATGAGCTCATTGCGGAATGACTTGTACGAGAACGAGATTTCGTTATGGTATCATTTAAACAAATACATGTAAATGAAACGATGTGGAGATGGAAAAAGCTCGTTCGAGAATGATAGTCATTCGGGTATCATGTGAAAAGTTCCTTAATTAACATTTAAACCTGGAATTATCCTTTGTTTCTATGACAATAAACCTGGCCAATAAACAAATAGGATAGCCACTACTTGGCTTTCTGATTATTGCTCCTGTTTTATCTCTACAACGTTGAATAATTTATGTCCATAAAGAGTCAGTAAGATTATAAGAGATTATTTCATTGGTCAATTTTTTTCGCGGTTATCACCCTAATGGCGTTTAATTTGTAATGTTAGGTTACATTGGTTGTAGAACCAACTAATACAAATAAACAGCGAGAAGCCGTCCAGTCCGCTGGATGTACGTAATTAATTTATAACAAATCGCAATTTTTTTCAGGTACGCGCATCGTTTTTGTGAGCCTTGAAGTCTTAAGGAAGTTATTGACGCATCCTCTTCTTGCCGACTAAAACTTAACTAACCTTTGGCCAGGTTTGTCATCAAACGTCCTTGTTTGCTCACTACAGACAGAGTCTGTGTTGAAAGTCTTTTTTTCCGACGCCACGAAAAATTGAAGGAAAGAGGCGATGGCAGATGATGGTACAAACGTACCAGGTGTGTGTAAAATTAATATTTCTTTGCGTTTTATTTCCTCTGCTCTTATAGATTTCTGTATTATTTAGACAAAGAATACTTTGGTGATTGTTAAGACTTACAAATCGATATACATATTAACATTTAAGACTCCCTAGATGACTTGGTAATGAATAAAAACGTGGCTTCACATTTTACTTTTTTTGTTTAGCGCAACGAAAACGATGGCTTTTTCGATCTTCCTCCATCGTGCAAAAATGGCTGCTTATTTCCATGTCAATTATCTGCAGCAGCGGCAATCAAGGTAGGTGTTTTTGAGGTTTTTTTTCTGACTCGACGTCAACATATACACTGCTTATCTTTGAAGTTTATACCGATTTAAAATATTACAGAGGTGAGCTGTTCTAGCAGGCTACCCCATTGGATTGTAAACTGAATGACTCAAGTCACTACGATTAATTTCCGCCATATCCCTTACTACTGTGAATTAAGTTGTCTTGGTAGGCTAAACTGTCAAACAGGAACATTGAAGAGTTGATTACACTTTGATTCTGACTGTAAATCACTTCAGTCTTAATCGATGCCTCTTAACTTAAACATAAACTTACTAGACCAGCTGCCCACCATTCGCTTTTGAATCTCTTGCTAGCTAAGCATACGAGCTCACTAATTGGAAACTCCCTCGGCCAGATATTATGTGAATATACGAGGGTTTAAAAAATGGGCTTGATCTAAAGGGTCGAACATAACGCCAAAAGTTAGGTGAACAAGTATACGAGTTTAAGGTATACTCCTTTATTAAAATGACTAGTTATGAGAAAAAAAAAGCTACCTGTATTCAGCTGCTAAAGGTGAATTCTGTTTAATTTTTCAATACTCGTTCGACGTAATGTTTATTAATTTAATAGAACTACGGGAATATCAGTGTTTACAATGCTTTTTCTATCCTCTTCGTTTTTGATTGATTCTAAACTAGAAATATGAGTATTGTGGAATAATTTCAAATAATGATGAAAATGCAATCGTCAGCTGCAAGGTTAAGATTCGTTTAATTTACGCGGGGAATTTAATAATCAGAGAGAAAAAAGAATTATTAGCTAAAGATCTACCAGTCGGATAGCTTCCTGTTGTTTTATTTCTAGTTATTAACAAAAATTGTTTTCTTAAAGAATGACTGTTTTTTTTTTGTCTTTTGGTTCTAAAGGAGGAGAGTGGGATAACGACGTTCTGGGCATGGGCAATGTTCTCGAATTTTTTAACTCTTTATTGCATGCGTGGGGAGTCATGGCAACATCAGACTTTGCCAAAACCTCCCCCAGAGACAATTACTAGTGGCTTTGTTCCTGTTGGTGGTTGTTTTGGTCACATTGCAAGATTGTGGCTTTCAGATAACGGTGGTCGAATTGTTATGTAAAATTAGCCAAAATTATCGATAAACTCAACCAGGCAATTTTGCCAAACGTTGCCTCCTTTGTACGTAGGTGTCTAAAAATCGAAAAAATACAAAATAAGTCAGTATTACTCGCACGTAAACAAAACAGACTTATAAGGGTTTATATTTTCTCTCTGGAACCGTGCCGCATACATTCATCAAATAGTCATCGGATTGATTACAAGATCAAGCGGATGTTTTTAGAGGTTTTTTTTGTTTGTTCTAAGGTTTTTGATTCAAATGCTATTTCTCATTTGTATTTTATTTTATGGCGCATTTTTAAATTTGTCACTTAATAAAATGACTTAACGCAGCCGATATCTCCACGAAGGTCTTGATTTAGAAAAATACTTTATTAGAAAGTATAGACTAATTACAGAAGCTTCGTCAATGAGAAATGTACCCTGTCGTTTCTTTCTAAAACTCATTTGAAGTATTATATTTTATTCATGTTGTCTAGAACTTCCAATATTCGGTCGTCTTCCTTTAGCTTGTGGCTTCTCAAATTTCTAGAGATTGACAATAGATCACAGGCTTTTCTCAACTTTTTGCTAGTTTGGTATTCTCAGGATCTGAAAGACATTTTTCTACTCTAAAGTGGTTTTTTACGAATAAAAAGTTTTAATAAATCATATTTCAGCATACAGAAGGCGACCTCTAGTTTAAAAATAGGGTACGTTCCTTCTGGCCATCTAAAATCGGATTTTACGATCAAAACTTCGATTTTACGTTTCATTGAGAACTAAACCAATCTTAGATTGCAATCTGAACGATCCAACTTCGCACTCGGATCGTTCAGATTAGTATCTCAATCTTGTTTTCAGATTTTTGTTCTATT